AGCTGCTCTTGATGTTGCTCTCAGTCAGGGCCTGCATCTGAGCTACAAGATAGAGACTCAAAAACTTCTTCGTGTCAATATAATTGATTTCAAACTGTATTTAATTTTCTACTTGCTATTTATATGCAGTTTGCAGAGCTGGAAAGCAGTTAATATTCAATAACTGAAGAAGATAAGAGGAATATGATGACATGTAGAGGATAATAATCTGATTCTTAGTGTAAAATTGATCAAATTCAGCTAAGACATAACTTCAGTGTTAGTCTAGAATCAACAGTTAATATCTGCTCTTCATACAAAGTAGAGTCTTTTTATTGAACATCTCTTTCAGCTAGTATAAGCTCAGCTAATCAGTGGTTCAGTTATTCTCACTAACTTTAATCACCTAGTTATATAGTAGTCCTTCTATCTCATATCAGCAGGATTAATGCATCTTTTCTTTGAGAATAATCATTGTACATAAGGCCTAGTTAGTTACATTGACTTTAGCAATAATAGTCATCTATTCTTGATCTTCAGGCTGTATAAGCTTGAGATTCCCACCTCTTTCAGATTTAGTCATCACTCTAGTAGTTTCAATTATATATATTTGAAACTTAGTCTCATTAAAGTTGTAAATATCATCTTCTAGGATCTTATACTTTATAATTATATTTCATATAAGTTTAAATCACTCATAGATAATCTCAGGATCCTCACATAAAGCTTACTGATGATTGTACTTGTATGAGAACTTGGATTTCAGCTCATTATAATGCTTGACAAAGTTTCATACTCAGCATTCACTCACTGTGAGTGAGGGATTGAATCTTCAGCTGGCAAGAAAAATGTTGATCATTTCTTATACAGCTACAACCTGAAAAGATTAATCTCATTTATTCATAGTCAGAATCTATTGAATAATAGATTCTTCCTCTGTAAGATTAAGTTTTCAGTTCTTTGAAAAAGGGTTAATGTGTGCTATATGACTATATACTCAATCATTTAAAGTGAAATGTAAAACTTTATACAGTTTTGCTATAGTTTGTACACTTGAAATTTTATTATTTTTAAATATTTGAATAACTAAAAGAAGTTTTTCTTCCTGAGTAAAGGCTTTATTTCTTTGTGTGATTGACATTTTTCACTTATCAGTTATATTAAGTGCTTTAGTAAGTAATATGGTAAGTAGTATGAGGGCAAGGAGCTAGTATAGAGAGTCTTGATATCATACATAAGCAATTTCATATTATATAATCTTTGCTTCAGCAATTAAAGCATTTTATATATTTTTTTTAATTTTTATTTTTCAGTCTATTCTCAATTATCTATGCTGATATAATTGAAGTCAATTCACAGTTTTAAGTTGAGAAAATTCTCTCAAAGTTAAGCAGTTATTGATTATTTTAACTAAGCATATCTTTAAAATAATGAGTTATCCTTGTGCAAATCTCTTGAATCTTATAAAAGATGCTATAATTGATGTAAACTACTGCAATCAATTATTAAAAATTAAAAAAAATCTTATAAAAAAAAGTCTGCTTTATAATTTTTCTTGTAAACTTAAGCTTCATTAATCAGATACAGAAACTTGATCACAAATATATAATAATCATTTTTATTTTTTATTATTAGTCATTGATATTTCATCTTTGCATTCTTAAGCTTATTGATAATCTCATATATTTTCTGTATATACTTGAATACTTTTTCAATTATTTCAAACTTCTCAAAATAATCTTTCTTCATTCTTGAAGTTAAATATCTGACAGCTTCATCATTAGTTCAGTTTTCAATATATATAATACAGCTTTCTTCAGTTAAAAAGTAGTCTATATTAACAGCTAGCTTGTATTTTATTTATAAGAATTAGTTTTCAAATATTATTTTTTTCTATTGTTGAGATATTTAAAGTCATTAAGTTTGACTGATTATTATATCTATTGAGTATTTATCAGTTTGATTTAAGAGGCTAAAGAGTTCATAGTCTACTATAAAATATTTTATTTCTTTATCAAGTTGTTCACTTGCTGATCAAATTTACTCATTTACTTTTTTTGTTCATTTTATTTTACTCTAATCCTTTTTATAATATCTTTTATGTCATTCATAAGACCAGTAATCTCTTAATATATCTGATCTGAATTCTCTTCAATTGATATAAAGAATTATTTTTTAATATAAGATTTCTTAATTTTATATTTCTATCAGTCAGAGTTATTATATTTTAATCTGATCTTTAAAGATGATTAAACTCTTTAACTGCTTTCAACATTTTTAACAATGTTTTCAGAGATTTAAAAATAAAAATAGATAAAAATTCTTAGAGATTTTTTATTTAAAAATTTATTTTAATAAAAATAAGAAATGTATTTGATTTTAGTATTATATTATAGCTTCAATCTAGATATAGATAAACAGATATTTAATTATTAGCTAGATAAGCTATCTGAATAAATACTAAAATAATTTCTAAAAGATAAATTCAGAAAAGATTCTGTTTATATAGCTCTTTTTTTTAGTGCAGTTGCTAGGTAATTGCCACATTTATATGTTATTCATACATAGAATAATTTCAGAGTTGTTTATCATTATTTAGACAATTGTAATTACTGATCATCTCAGCTTATGATGATTATACTATCAAGAAAATTAGACATAAGTTTATTCTATATCATTATAGTATTTAATAATCAATATGTTTAAATATTGAAAATATTAATATATTAATAATTAACTATATATTTATTTATTAGAGCAACTGTGTATAATATGTTTAATAATTTCACAGTCACTGTAATATAATAAAACTTATTGATGAGATAGCTTCAATCTAAGCTTTAATCTACATATCAAGCTACTGAATATAATTATAATTTTTTATATAAATATAATTATATTTTAATCTAAATTAATATATATTTATATTTTTTTATTTTATTTTTCACTTATTAATTACTTCTAGAATCTTGATTTCTTTATAAAAAAAGATATATATTTATAGTTATTTATGTAATTCTTTCAATATATTAAAATAAGATATTAAGTTATTAAATAAATATTTTATTTTATTACAATATTTTTACAAGTAATAAATTTTATAATCAAGTTAATAAGTGATTTAATATATTTAAAATATTATAAATTTTTAACTTTTAATATTAACTATAAATAATATTAATAATATTAATATATATAATTAAAAAATTATTTTGATAGATTTTTTGATATATAAATAAATAAATAAATAATATAATTATTTTTTATAATTATATATATTTTAATAATTAATAATATTAATATCTAATAATTAAAAAAAATAAAATATATAAATAAATATATAAAAATTATTAAATTCTATAGTCAGATAATTATTATAATTATTAAAGATAAATTATTTTATACTAATTGAATAATATTTAAAATATAATTTAAATATTTTTTTTAATATAGTATATATCTATTATATCAATAGTTTAATTAAAATACTTATAACTATTTTTTAATTCTGAAAAAGTTAAATATTATTATTAAAATATTTTTTTTTTAAAAAAATTATTATTAATAAAGTAAAATATTTAATTTTATATATTTAAGAATTTTAATTTATTTATAATTTTTCTAAATAATTATATATAATCTTTTATCACATTTAACTATAGTAATAACTTTAGAGATTATATAAAATTTTATTATAAAGTTAGTTATATCAAATTTTTAAATAATATTTTTATAAATCTTATATTTTTAGATAGTTTTATATAGTTATTATCTTTAATTATTATTTTATAAGTTTTAAAATCTTTTACTTTATCTGTTAATAAAATATATTTGTTAAATGCTATATTATTCTAAGATAAAACTCTATAACTATGTAGTTTAAATGCTATTTTTTAATTAGATTAGTAAAATAATTAAATTCTAGTATAATTAGATAGATGTTATAGTTACTGACTGAATACACTATAAGTGAATAATAATAATAATAATAATAATATATATATATATATATATATATATATTATTAAGGATAATGTTAAATAAATTTAAATATTTAATTAGTTTTAAAAATAATAATAAAATATTTATATATTATTATATATGAAAATTTTAATTAGATTGAAAAATTATATCTATCTATATTCAGTAACTACTTGAGAAGAATTTTTTCTTCAATCTCTGTCAATTTGTGATTGTTTTATATATGTTTCTAAGTGTAATTTAATATCAGATAATTATTATCTAATAATTTCAAAAATTTTATAAATCTTTACAGCTTTAATCTTTGATATATTTTTTTAATTTATATGCAGCAATGATCAACTGTATGCAAGATTCTTGAGATAAAGACATTTTGAATAAAAACATGAAGAAATGATGTGTTGAAAATAGTTGAGTTGAATATTTGATGATTTTTGAAGAGAATTTATCACTCATTGGTATCTGCTGTTTAGTGGCGGATTAACGTTAGTTATGTTACATTAAATTGTGACTAATACATAATCACATGCCTCCCCGGATAGATAGTGTAGAATTTGGTTCGCTAGTGCACACACAACAGAGCTTTCAGGATGTCTAATCAGGGGTAACTTCACTTCTTCTTCATCGCCATGTTGAGAGTCAAGAAAAGTAAGTAATGTAACATCTATTGGCCTGAATTTCCATTTTTTCATTCTTCTCATGAGATATCATCATGCCCAGGGTAATACTACTGCTCAAAACACACTTTATCCAATTCCAATCCAATTGTTCGATGAAAAAGTTAACCACTGAATGACCACCCCTTTTCATCAAAGAAAAAGAAAATTAGTTGGTGCCATCTGTCCCCCCTCAGTCACCACTCTCCTGCCCACAGGATCATCAGTTCCCCTCACGTGCCATGAGCTGTGTCGATAAGAATGCTTTAACATCCCGCCAATCAACTTCCATATATCATTTCTCCTCCAACCTAGCTCTCCTACAGCGCGGGGTCGCCATTCAACCACATCGACGTGAACAAAACCACATCTCCAGATAAAATGATGTCTTCAAATGACATTACCCCTGGGGAGGCGACTGCTACTTCTTTTCGGCCAGCATTGATCGTAGTTGATATGCAAGAGGACTTTTGTCCGCCTGTGTGTGTCCCGCCAGCAACTCCACCACTTTACAGCAGAGAAGCTTATTTAGTCATATCTGCCCCTTCTAACATCTATCTATGTTTATACGTACACATTGCCCACTAACATTATCTGTTGCGCCCTTACCAGAATGGCTCTCTAGCCATCCAGGGTGCCCGCGCCCTCGCCCCGATAATCAACTCCCTCCTCTCCCTCCCCGGCTTCGTTCTCAAAATCTCCACGCAAGACTTCCATCCAACAAAATCATATCTCCTTCGCTGCCAATCACCCAGCCCCCAACAACGTCCCTTTCCAATCCATCATTGCCGTTCACAACCCCGCCCGACCCACCACCATTAATAACACCACAATCTCCTACAAGGACAAGGAAAAGCACACAACAA